GGGGGCTGACAGGAGGGGCTGAAAGGGTCACTTTGGAGTCGAGGCTGTAAGGACCCTGTCTAGGGGAGGGGTAGGAAGCTGTAGGAGTCTTGCCTGAGGAAAGAGAGTATATGTGTGGGAAATGTGTCTAGTGGGCCAAGGTGGCTGTGAATAGGGAACCAGGGGACTCTGGGCCAAGTCTGGGACAAAGGGCAGGGTGATGAGGAATAGAAGGATATTATTTTTGGAATAACAATATTATTATTGTATTTTATTGGAATAACAGCATTAATGATAACCCGGATGCTGTTTTTAAGCACTTCACAAATAAAAACTCATTTTGTCTTTTTAACAATCCTTTGAGGGAAGTAGTTGCTCTAATTTTCATTATTATTCCCATTTTAGAGAAGAAGAAATCAAGACACAGGAAAGTTAAATGAAGTTCAGGAACTGGCTTAAATTCACACAGTAATTACGTGGTAGAATCTGCATTCACACTCAGAATCTGAGAGTAGGCAGGGTGCTCTGCTGTTTCAGTCCTAAATTCCCTGCCTTGGCCCCAGATCATTTTTTCAAGTTCCTGCGTGATGCCGCACCCTGAACTGCAGCCAACTGTAGCTCGGGATGCTGCCCCCACCACAGAGTTGCCAGATGTAACATAAAAATATAGGACACCAGTTAAATTTGAATTTCAGATGAATAACAAATAAGTTTGTAGTGTAAGTATGGGCTTACCCACAGCCATTTGCTCTCAGGGCACCATTGCCACCAGGATTTCCAGATTAGTAGATTTGTTTACAAAATGAGGCTCTAGAACACTGACATACTCAAGAGTTTTTGCTCTTTCATCCTTACCATGTTCCTGCTCCTTGCACTCATGTCTCCTCCCTCCCAGCCCTGCACTCCTCCTTTTCCGGTCTCTGTTCCAAGGGCTCTGGCCCTATCCCTAACCCATTCCTCGAGATCATAAGGTGTGTTACCAGGCAGAGATTGTTAGGCAGGAGGCCAGTGGGTAATCCTGCAGACCTCAGGATGTCTGCCATACTGCCTCTTGCCCATAAGGTCAGCAGCTTGGCACCTTGCTAGTCCTCCTGTTTCTCCTGTTTGATTTACCCCTTGGATCATTTCATGTTCATTCTCTTTCCTGGTCCCAGTAAATTCATGTGTAAGAATCATATATGATAGAGGTGTCATTTCAGAAGGCTGTGCGAAGTATGGACAGTTCAGTCAGTGCAGAAAGGACAATTGGCTGTCCTTTGGGGAACCCTAGAACGTCTGTTTTTTAGCACACACAAACACATATTCCAGACAGATTAAGAAGTTACATATAAAATTTAGCTGAAAGTATGAGGAGAAAATATAGGATTTTTTTTTTTTCCTAGAACCCTGGGATAGGGAAGGCAAGCAAGATACTAAGCCTCAAAGTCATAAGGAAATGCCTGATAAATTTAGATGTCCCATAGGCATCTTAATTCATCCAAAGCTAAGTTCATCACTATCCCAAGATTGCATCTTCTCTGGGATTCCTCATCTTGCCTATTCCTTTCCCAGTCCTCCCTCTCCCATCTTTAAGGTTTGCTCATTCTGTTTCCTAAAAACTCTCTTGCCTCCATCCACTTCTCCACCCTATCACTGTATCTCTACCATCTTTCCTGCTGCTGGGCTAGTTCTGGGCCAACCTTTCTAACTTAGCCCAGTCTGCTAAGAGATCCCTCAGCCTTTAGGGTTAACCCCTCCAATCCTGTCTTACCATCTAGGATGATAATTTGGAACCACAGATCTGGCCCAGGCACTACCATTCTTAAACATGTTAGCGTCTCTACTACATTATCAGAATAAAACTTTGAACTCTTCACCTTAGCATTTAGGTTCCTCAGGGTTTCCTCTCACTGCTGACATCACCAGCGTGCTATCTTGTCATTTCCTTGCTACTTGCTCTGTATCATCCCTTACCTACTTGCTAAACTTAGTCTTGGGGCTTCGCTGTGCATTTTATCTCCAGAAATGTGCATAACTTTAACCTCAGCTTGTCAGGCTAGCTCCCCCCCCCCATTTCTAGATCTCTGCTTAGTTTTGTTCATCCAGGAGTCTATTCCTAAGCCTCGGACAGAATGAGTTGGCTTTTCTATACCTCTTTTTCTGATAGCACTGCAACCCTAACAGAGCAGTTTCTGAGCTCCTTGAGGACAGGGAGCTACAAGACCTTACACATTCTTAGACCCAACATGGCCCATGCCCCAGCACATGGAAAGATTTAGTGCATGGTTGCTGAATGAATTGAGTGTGTGAATGAACGTCTAAGTGTTTCTTGGACCCTGTCCCTCCTGGGGGGTCTTCCTGGCCCAGGACCTGCTTCTAGCCCTCTATCCTTCAGTTCCCAGATAAGTGCAGCTAACTGGAGCATGCCAGCCTTTGTGTGAACTCTCACTAGGTGTCCTAAGGGATCTGAGCTACCCTTCCACTGCTTCCTTGCCAAGCAGATACTTGACTACCCTTAGGTCCAGCCAGCAAACACATCCTCCCTTGTTACACGCTAGCCCCCTCGTCTTCTCTCTGAAGGCTTTATGCAGCTGCACCTCTCCCTTTATGGACTTGGCAATATAAAAACATTTCCAACATTAAGAATATTAATGCTAGGGCTGGGGATTTAGCTCAGTGGTTTCGCCACCTGCTGCACAAGTGCAAGGACCTGAGTTCGATCCCTGGTACCAAAAAAAAACAAAAACAAAAAACACATGTTCACAAGAATATTAATGCCCAAAAAAGGGGTGGATCATCTTGTCTCACTTTGATGACCCTGCAGGGACACACAAATGTGTTAACCTTCCAGAATTGAAGGTGAGGAAAACCTACTCTTGGAGGCCTCCACTGTGGGCAAAGGGCTGTGCCCCTACAACCCCTACAGCACAGCAGCCTCAGTAGCTCAGAGAGGTGCCAGAAGGCAAGGCTGCTAACCCAGGAGGCCCAGGGCTTTAAGCAGAGGACTCCAAGAAGCTGCCTTGTCACTAGGCTCATCTTACTGCTGTCTCTCTCAACTTTTGGCCTGTTAAAAGCCCCTGATCTGTGTCTGGTGCTGCTTCTGCCAAGTCCTTATCTTTTAATTGTGCCATTGATTTTTATTTTTTAACTGCTCAGTAGTTTGCATTGACACTTATCAAAGCTCCAAGAAGGGAAAAAAAAAGAGCCCTGGGCTGACAGCCTGTAACTCTCATTCCACTGAGTTGAGAGGTGAGCTGGAGGAAGTTCCTTCCTCCCTCTGGTCTTTGTTGTGGTGGTCCAGTTGCAACAAATTAGACTCCAGAATCCCCAGTAAACAAGATCAGTAGTCACAAGAGTCTGTGAAGTGAGTGGCAACTGATTTCATCAAGTGTGCTGGCCCATCTGTCATCTGTGCCATAGATTGTACAGTATACACTTTCTCCCCATCAGGTCATCCAGAGAACCAGCATCCTGGCCTCCTTTTCAGGTAGGGAAGAGGAATTCCCAACATAGAGTAGCTTGTGCAAAGCTGTGGAATGGAGCACCTTGTTCAGTGCTCTCAGTGACGCTGTGGCCACTGTCACCCCTAGTGGAAAAACCTGAAACTTAGGGAAATGAAGCACTTGTTGAATGTCAGACAACTAGTGGGTAAGGACTGGAACAGGTTTGTCTGACTCCAAAGCCCACTCTGTCCTTTTCAGAAAGTAGTAAGACTTTATTCCTTGAGACTGGAGTACAGGGGTCAAGGGTAAGGAGTGGCAGAGATGAGACCAGGGATAGCAGGGGTCAGTTTTAGTAGAGGCTTTTAAGTCCTAGTGAAGAATTTAGACTTTAAACAGATGACAGGGAGAGTCACTGAAGACATTTAAGAGGGAAGGGCCTTGTCAGATTTGTATAAGAAGTATCATTCTATCTGCAAGAGGATAGCTTACAGGGAGCAGACAGTACACAGGCATTTGCAAGCCAAGTAAAAGGCGATGGGGTGTGGACTTGAATGGCTGTTGGTGGAATGAAGGAAAGTAGATGATTAGAGAATAAGGAGATGAAGATCAAGTCTGCATAAGTTCGTAGTAGATTGGGGAAGTGAAAAGAGGACAAGGTCAAGCCTCTCAGGTTTTTCCTTTGCCATTCACTGGTGTAGAGAACAAGGGTAAGAGGGAGCTTGGGGACAGAAATTGTTCATTACCAGAAACATTTTGAGTCTTTATCTAGAAATGTTTGAGAGGCATTTGAATTTGTAATGTGGTACTCAGGAGAGGGGTCCAGGCTGGAAAGGGTGACCTTCAAAGGCAGCGGAAGCTCAGGATGATTTGGCACCTCCCCCACCCCCATACTGGGGATCAAACTCAGGACCTTGTGCTTATGAGGCAGGTGTAGCATAGAAGCTTAGGATTTGGGTGAGGTCACCCAGTGTGTAGCGTTGGGAGAGGTCAAGGACTGAGACGGGCATGGGGACTCCTTCCTGGCACAGATGGGAGATCAGTGCTTGCCTTTTGGATGGGCCAGTGGCCTGGGGGTCTGAACTGGAACATTCACTTGGGTTGGGAGAGGCAGATTGAGTGATTTGTCCAGCAATGAGGGAGGAGCCAGATGAAGTCAATAGAAAACTAATTTTCTTTTTCTGCTGGGAGAAATGAGGTGTGTGGCCACTGGATAATTGCAGATAACGAGGGGACTTATTCTTAATATGCACAGCGGCCATGGTCCCCAGGGTGCAGGAGATAGGAAGGATTGGAGGTGCCCCGACAGGGTTAGGCTTATTTAGGGAGAAAATCACCCTCTCACAGCCCCTCCAGTGGTGCCATCACAGCCCCTCCCCCTTCCAGTCCTAGCCATGAACTACCAAGCTCCTCCTGTGGCAGTCCCCTCCCTCCTCCACTTTCTACCCCCACAGCACAGGCGTACACACTAAGGGAGACAAATGAGGGGGCCTCAGCCGAGTGGGGCACGTGTCTGGCCCATAAACCACAGGGATGGGTCACATCTGGAGTTGCCATGGCCGCCAGTACCCACCCATCTGTCTTTCCACCATTCTGCCTCAGATCAACCCTCATGGCTTCCTGAGTCCCTGGGAGAACAAGGTGTCATCTTCATACCTATAGCGACCACAGGTACATACGTGTTGAGCTCTGTGACAGGACCCTGTCTGCCATGCCTGCTGTAGGTAGGACCTGCTGAGCTGTCTGGCTAGTGACACAGACCCTTCCTTGGCTGGTCAAAATCTCCTCCCCCACCCACAGGCCCTTTCTGGCTCGGGGGTGTATGTTCCCCTTTCTTAAGCTGAAGTGCTGACAAGGGTGGGTGTGGGGGGATTCAGTCCTTGACAGATGCAGAGGCCTCCTGACCCCACCTTGACCTTACCACCCCCCCACTTGATTATGACATCGATGTACAATATCTCTGCAATCACAGCATCGATCCCATGAGGCCTGGTGGCAGCTGAGGTCCTACTCATGGCCCAGGAGCATTGAAGGGGGAGGTAGGAAAGGCAGGTGAGAGGATGGCAAGGTGATGGCCTCTCTGGGGAACTCAACTGAAAAACCCAGCTACTTTGGTGGTTTCTGTACTAGGCTGACTCTAGTGACAAGCTCGGGGCAGCTGCCCCTCATGCTGGTGGTGCTGCAGTCAGTCCTGGCCCATGTCCACAAAACTGAGGCCCCAGAGTACTTGCAGCCCCCAAGGTGTCAGGATAATTTAGGGCATGAAGCTTTTCTTGGGGACCTACTCTAGAGAAAATGCCGTGACAGGGTCTGTCACACAAAGACATATTTTACCTAGGGTGTGAGGAGAGGCAGGGCCCAAACAGTGACCAGCACCCAGTTCTGAGCCTGCTGGGACAGAGGCAGGGAGTGGGCTGACATATTCAGGTGTGTCAGGCCAGGGCCGGGAGAGCAGCCACACATCCTGTCTGGGGCCACACAGGAACAGTACCCAGGGCAGGTGTGTCTCCTAGAGCCCTGGCCCAGCAGGCCTGAGCCTTGTCACCAGTGATTATGGCCTGGGCCACATCTCCCACACATGCGCAAGTGCCAGCAAAGTCACCCTGGCCGTGGGTGTGATGAATGGCCGCACAGTAATGAAATGGAGACATCAAGGCGGGTGGCGGGAAGACGGAGTGTGGCGGACGGGCCGTCCCCACGCAGCGGCAACAAGAAGGATCGCCCAGCGGCCGGGGGCCGTCAAGGGAGAAATTACACATTTACTCTGCCTTTTTCTTACTGCGACGGCGCCCATATATCACCACTGGGGCTGGGACAGGACACGCTGGCCAATTTCCAACATGAATTATGGGACTGAAAAGCATTGAGACCAGGCTTCCTGCTGGCCCAGCATCACCCGGCCCAACCTGAAGCTGGAGATGCAGCCACAAAGGCCAGGACCCTCTCTAGTGCCTGTGGCTCCTAAATGTGACCCTCCTTCCCACTCCCACCCTTGTAAGAGCACCTGTGGGCATGGAGGGGAAGGGTCTGGGGCCCATCTAATGTTTTTTCTTCCTCTCTTTAGATGACTGCAAGAACATTGCCAACATCATGAAGACACTTGCATATCGAGGCTTCATCTTCAAGCAGACATCAAAGCCATTCTGATTGGCCGAGGATAGGATGGGGCAGGACAGGGTAGCTGCTTGGCCCAGCCCAGAATCTTCCTCTCCCTCACCAGAGGGCAAGAGGGAGAGTGGCACAGCCCTGTGCCCAGAGTGTCTCCCAGCAGCCCTACAGACCTGTGTCTGGGGCAATGGCTTGGCCACCTGGCCGCTCTGGAGCAGACACTTTGTGCCCCCCACCCCTCAATCTCAGCCCAGTATTAGCCCCTCCCATCATGGGCCTGGGCTAGGGGGACCCAGGCACACTCTGCCTCCTCCCTGGTACACAGGCTTCTGCTGGGGCCACCAAGCCCCCCTGTGCCCCTTTCCCATCCATAGTGCATGGTGTGTGGTGCCCCCAGGGCTCCAAGACAGATCAGGCCCCATCTTGTATCTACCCCCAGCCCTGCTGTGAACGTGCCACTGAATAAAGTCGGGGAAATGAGGCCCTGGGTATGTGTGCAAAGGCTGTTGCTGTGCTAAGACTGTCTGGATGCCTCTTGTGCACAAGACTACCAGTGTATGACTGTCAGTGCTTGACACCCTCACTGAAGATGCACAGGTCTGGAGAGGTATGGACGTCTCAGAAGGCACTGTTGTGTGCAAGGACATCAGGTGCATAAAACCACGGTGAAAGGGCAGGGGTTTGGGCAGTGCTGGCAGGGTTAGGGGGATGACGCCAAGAGCCTGAACGTAGGCCAGCTCCAACCACGACATGAAGATAGCAGCTGATGCCCGGCCTGGCACCCTCCCTACAGAGGAACCAGGGTGTGGGAAAGGAAGTGGGAGTAGCCCAGTCCAAGTCAGCAGCTCTATTTACACCACAGCACCACCCATACCCCAGGTGGCCTCTCAGGGCTTCTTGGCTTTCTTCACAGAAGATGAGCTGGAGGCCGATTCCCGTCGCTTCCTCTGAGGAGACACAAAGTGCTGAGGTCAGTGGCCCACAAGGCCCGACTTAGGCTTAGTGTGCATGTTTCACACTCTCAGGGAGATGATACCCACTGGGCAACCCAGTCCTGCCCTCAGCCCCAGACAACCAGAGGGAGCTGAGCTTATGCATTGCATGTGCCTGCTCACAGGGCTGGGGCACACTCCCAAGCCTGTCCGGGTTCTTACCGAATTAGGTGTGAGGGGTGCACCCACGACGTCAATGATGGTGTCCTTGGTAGGGTCAGGGCCAAGCCCAGGTTCAGACACTGCTGGCTCAGTAGAGGCCAGGACTGAGCCCGTTGCTGGTGTGGCAGGGCCCCCAAGGACACCTGCCCGGGCCAGTGCTTCATGCCGGTGCCGCAGCATCTGTAGCTCATACTCACAGTTGGCACAGGCCTGCTTGAGCTCGTAGAGCAACACTAGGTCACTGCGCAGCTCATTGAACATGTGCACCAGTTCCTCGGTGGGGGTTGGGCTCAGCTCTGCAGGCAGGGTAAAGTGGGACTGTGGTTGAGGGCGCACAACATGGAGTGCCCACCCCCGCCCAGCCTTCCTCCACAGCCCAGGTGGGTATGTCCTCCAAGGCCCAGCCCCACACTCACCCACACCAAGCTCCAGCAGCATCTGTTCCAGGGCCTTGATCTTCTTCTGACCCACAGAGCTGGGCAGCTTCATCTGCAATGACACAGGCAGCTAATGCCCTTTCCCCAAAGACAGGTTTAGGACAAAGAAGGTTAAAGGCAGTAGGGGATTGGGGGCTTGGGATGGAGGTAGCTGTGGGGCAGAAAAGGAAACAGCTAGGAAGTGGAAAATAGTGAAAGCTGTGACCACAGCCTGGCCATGTCTCCGTGTGGTCCTGACAAGGCCACCTTGATCTATAGCCACCTCTCCTGTTGTTCCTGTTGTTCCTCCAGCTCAAATAGCTGTAGCACTCAGGCTACCTGGAGCCCAGGGCTCAAACAGATGAAAGGAGGCGACTCACGTACCCGCTGGCTCCGCAGTGTGACACCTGCAGACTTGAAGTCTGGAAACTTGATGCCTGCCGTCTCAGGAACAGCCTGGGGGAGGAGTTAGGGAGACCAAGGTGTCACAGGGAGTAGGCCCAGGGTCAGTCCCTCCACCTCACCAGCTCTGGGTGTTCTCAGAGCTCCCACTCAGGATGGAGCCCTGTGCCATCTCCACCCAGAGCTGGGCTGGCTTAATCTCCACACCGGCTTCTCAGCCTCCTTTTTCTGGGGTAGCTTCTTCTTGGGGGCCTTTCGTTCTGTGCGCCGCTGTTCTGCAGTTGTGTCTGCTGCAGTGATCAGCTTTTGCAGGTCCTGGCTGCGTTTCTCCCGCTCCTTCTTCCGGGTCTCGATCTTGCGCAGCTCCTGTAGCAGGTACTCCTCCTCTGCCACCTGGGAGAGTAAGAAACACTGAGAAGTGTGTGAAGGCAATGTGTGGGGCAGGGTATACAGGGTGCTAGGCTGTCTCTAAGGGCATGTGACATGGAAAGGGTCAGAGAGAGGTAAAGAAGAGCAGGGAGATGGCCAGGGAGAGGCTGGGGGTGAGGGCGTTGAGGGCATGGAGGATGGAGGCAACAATGAGCAAGGGCTTTGGGGTTGGGTGAGAGGTATGTGGAGCTTAGGGCTGACCTGCTCTGGGGTTCGGTTGTAGAGACGCTCAAGCTGTTCCTTCCGCCGCCGCTCATGTCCAGCATCAAATACTGGTATCTTGAGGTCTGTACCTGGCACAGCCCGTACATTGGCAAGCTTGGCACAGATGTGATAGTACCGCTCCTTCAGGTCCTCTATAGAACGCTTCTGAGGATTGAATGGGTGGGAGATGAACACCCAGGGGTACAGAACGGATGCGATAAAGGTAGGACCTACCAGGCCCAGGGGCTGGGCACACATGCAAATGCACACCAGCTTACCTTGAACTGCTGGTGGTCATACCGGTCATGGATAACTACAAAACGCAGGTCGAAGCGGCGGCTGAGGTCAAAGAGGTGGTCAGTTTCTGCCTTAGTCCAAGCATCATCGTGGAGGTAGAGCTGGTACTCCTGCTCTGAATACACAGGCACCTGCACGGTCTACTGGCCCAGAAAGACACAGTAGGTGCACACCCACATCATGTCATGTCCAGAGGGCTCCGGCCCTGTGACCACAGCCCCTCCCTGGGGCTGTGTCCATCCCTGGGCTACACAAAAGCAAATCCTTAGCCTGTGCCCCTGCAGAAGGCAGTCTGGAGTAAGGAAAGAACTTAGTCCAGGCTGCTGCTTGACTAGAGGCCGTAGCAGGCTCTAGGACTACAGACTGCCTGACTCACTCCCAGAGCAACTTCACCTTATCTTCAGCCCTAGAGGCTGGTAACATTGCATAGCTCTTGCCCCCATGGTAAAGGTGAGCGGCCCACTTGTAAGCACTCTGTGGAGTCTAAAGGTCAACTCTGGAATCAGGCAGATGGCTAAATACAGCAGTCAGAGGAAGAAGGCTCAGGAGCCCCTACAGGGAGTATCTCTAAACTGAAGCACTACTGCCACCCAGTGGTAATAGTGGGATTTGCTGCTCTCTCAGAGCTCTCCTAGGTCACATATTTCTACAAAAACCTGGGTTGAATCCAACAACATGCAGCCCTGCCAAAACTCCTTCCTGCCCTAACCCAAAACCCATCCCATAAGCCTCCCCAGAGATAAAGAACACCACTACAACTTGGTTCTCTCAGGCAGAGACCCAAGAAAGGGTCAATGCTAGACTGGACCGATGACGTTTCTCTTCTTTCAAGACCACAAGTGGCTCTTTCCAGCTGCCACACCTGCTGGAGGTCCTACATGCACCTCAAACTGAATGTGCTCAGTACTGAACTTATCTTCTTCCCTCAAACTTCTATCTCCTCTGGTCTAGACCTCAGTCCATGCCATGTTACTGTTACCTAATCCAGTTGCTCAAGCCAGGAACCTGGGAGACATCTTTAAAAAAGATGTCTTCAAAATCCCTCTCTGCACTGCCACATGCTAGGCCAGACCAGCACCATCGCTTGCCTAGATCAGACAAACAGCCTCTCTACTGGTCTCACTCTTTCCATTCAGTCCTCCTCTAATCAGTTCTCCATCTGCAGCCAATATTTGACCTCTCTGAAGAGTGCTACTTAAAGAGCAGTGTGTAGACCAATGCTGTTTGCAGACTGACATCAATCCATGGTAAGAACAGAAATTGTGAGGAGGCAATAAAAACCTTATCCAGTAACTGTGTGCTGCTGAATATAATTTGAAGCAGTACAGACTTTACTATCTTTTCTTACAATTTTATTACCTTTATCAGTCTGTCATGGGTTGGAAATATAAAATAAAAACATCCTGGACCACAGAAAATCTGACACACACTATTCGAGAATATCTTACCATGTCATCCATAACCCCCTAAAGCCTCCCACCTCCAAGATAAAGTGTCTTCTCGACTAATTCACAAACTCCTCAAAAACAAGGGTTATCCACTTCATTTCCTGTCTCTAAGCCTCAGCCCATTACAGGTATCAGTGAATATTCACTGACTTGACCGAGCATGACTGAATGACCTGGCCGCCTTCTACAGCCACTGACCCTTATGGGCCCTAAGTGCCAGCCAAATGACTGACTGTTTTGAGAACACACCACTCCTGTTTTTGCCTCAAGGGCCTTCTCACTTCCATGCACCTCTGTCTTGGTGACATTTTCATCCTTTTGATCTCCTTCAAGTACAACTCCTCTGGAGACTTTTAGTTGCCCAGATTTTGTTACATATCCCTCCTATGCACTTAATTCCACTCAACTAAAAAGCACCATACCTCAGAACTATATGGCCAATCCTGCTCTCAAGGCACTCAAGAGTCATGTAAGGAAGTCATTCTTTCATTCACTCAACAAGTATTTATCATGGGCTGCTATGCCTATGCTGGGGACATAGTGCTAAGACAAAGAGGGGTCTTTGCCTCTCAGCTCACAGTCCAGCTAGAAAAAATAATCATTTTAGTACAGTGTCGCAAGTTTGATGACAAAGGTATGCCTAGGTTATACCAAAAGACACCGGGTCCAGTCTAGGGACACAAGTTGAAAGAGTCAAAGAAGAAACAAGGCCTAGTTCAGTCTTAAGCAGTAGTGAGGGAAGAGGGGAAAAGGAATCCTAGGAAAAAGGGCAATATAAATATAGCCAGGAAAGAAAACAACTAAGTATGTGTTGGCCTGGCAATTTGGGACATGGTGGGAAACAGGATGAAAAGGGGAGAAGCATGAGAAAGTCTCTCAGGTCAGCAGTAGCCAGGCCTGTGCACCCTGCTGAGTCTGGAATTCATTCTGAGGGGATGGGAGCCCATGAGGTTAGTTTTGGGAAGAGTAAAAGGTCACATTTCTCATATCAAAGACCAACTACCCTGGCAGCAGTGAGGATGGAGGGCTGAGGCAAGAGTCCAGGCATTCAGCTGGCTGATTTTGGCAGTGACACAGGTGGGACGTGAAAAAACCTGAATTAAAGCAGCACCAGTGGGAGGCAGAGGACAGGGAGCACTTAAGCAAGAGAAGCAGTGGCTGAGTTGACAAGCAGTGGGAGCTGGCGCCATAACGACCACTGTGATTCTGGCCTGAGTAAGAAGAGTGGCTGAGGAGCTACTGCCTGAGAGGGGTATCTGGGGAAGGAGCAAATCTCCTTCATTTCACTTCAACTTCATTCTTCACTCTAGTCACTAAATCATTCCAAGACTCAGAGCTAATCCTGACACTACTCTAGTTAAAAATCTGTCAGTGGCTACCAGAAGCAGTCTGAAGCCCACCTATTTATTTGAGAATGCCAGCAGTTACCAGGAAAAAATAATCAGGATATTAGAAAGACTGTTCTGCCCTCTCTCTGAGGAAAAGGAAAAAAACCGAAATATTGGTTACCCTAGACAATCAGGGCATAGCCTGAATTCTTGAGCCTTGCTGCCAAGGCCCTGCCTGAGCAGAGGCCCCTGCTGACTGCTCAGGCCTCATCTCTCACCACACCCTACTGCGGGCTTTAGGCTTCAAGCATGGAAATGACCCCAGCATCACATACCATTTAAAATTTCTATTTATGCCTTTGCTTGTGCTGTTCTCAGAAAAAGTCACTGTACTGCCTTTCCTAATATTGCCTGGTGACATCCTTCAGGACTACTCGGGCTCCAACTACTCTAGGAAGCTTCCATGACCTTCAGGCTCTCGCATCCCACCAGACTGTAATTGCTTCTGCCTCTTCCACCCCCTCCCCAACCCATATAGAGTTTCTGAAGGCAGATACTGTTGTCTGGTTCATTTATGTTTCCTTAATGTCTGGGCCTCAACCTGGTGGGGAATGATATTTACTAAATACAAAATGAATACTTTTGTCTGCAATTCAACTTGTCTCATCCAACCTCCCTCCCACTGCCTCAGGTGCCTCACCTCTTGACTGTCCCTTCTCTATCTTGTATTTCTACCCTCTCTCTACTGCACCTGAGGGCCCCAAGGAGAATGGTAAGAAGGAGGAAAAGCTGGTTTGAGATATGGGGAATAATGGATTCACACCTGGCCACGCTCAGTCTGTAAAACTGTGTGCAGTCCAGAAGAAGGTGTTATGTCTGAATACACCGACTTTGAAGGCAAGAAGCTGGAACTTGCAGTCCAAGGTCTGAGCTCTAGTGCCTTTAGGTTCTAAGTCTAAGCTGTTCCAAGCTTTGGCAACTGTGAGACACCTAGTAAGATGCTTAAATCATGGGCTAGTAGTCCAGCTCTGCCTCTCACTGGCTGGGTGAATCAGGGAAGGCCTGGCTCTGGCTAGACTTGTAATCTGGACCTGAGATAATTCAGCTTGGATCAGAGTGCTCACCTAGAAGACAAGTAAAGGCAGAGATGTGATTTACTATGGAAAAAGAATCAGCAGGATTTGATGCTTAGATGTTTGAGGTCTAGCTCAAATGCCACTTCCTCAGAGAGGCCTTCCCTGACCATCCTATCTAAAGCAGGCCTCTCCTACAACCTACAACTTCCCTATCTTTTTCATATCAATTCATATTCTGGTTTAATTTTATTGATGGCTCTTAACTGACATAATCCAATTTATTTTATTGCCTTACATTTTTGATATGTCTTCCCTTATCTTTGTCCTGTTGTTGACATCTAAGAGAGAAGGCTGAGTCAAGGATGATTCCCCAGTTTCCAGTGTGGGCAACCTGAGAGGATAATGGTGTCATTTACTGAGCTGGAGAACAGGTCTGGGGGCAGGGAATAATGGGATGATTGTAAGTTCAGTTCAAGGGTGCCTATTTGATGTGAGGTACCTATGGGGCACTCAGAAAGAGATGTTAGTAAATGATTGGATATATGGGAACAGTTGCTCTTACTATCTGGAGATATTAAATTCAGGTCACTAGCTTATAGAGGGTAACTGAAATCACATGGTAAATGAGACACACTAGGGGAAAAGTATAGACTAAGAGTAAAGCACCTATGATACAGGTCTGTGGAATAGCGTATTTGAAAAGCCAAGAGAACCCACCAAAATCCAGGGTAGGTACAGGGAAGGACAGGATCCCACAGGCAAAGAGACCCCTAGAGTCCCACTCTGCCTTTATATGACCCAAGGACTGAGTGGGTAACCATACCTGGGCTTTAGCAGGCCTCTGGAGCCAACACTGGCCTGTATGAATGGTGGTAGCTCACCTTATTGAACCTGGCGAAGGGGTAGTCCTTGCCCTCTTCTGCTGCCCGACGCCAGTGAAAGAACATGGCTCCATCTTTTCGGGCTGGGTTGGTGAATGGCATCCATTTCCAAGGTCGCACTTTCTTGGACCCTAACTTGGCCTTTACTGTGCGGTAGCCCTGACCAGTGTCACTGGGTAGCAGTGGAGGTGCATCTCTGCCAGTGGGGTTTAGGGAGGTAGAAGGTTAGAATCACAAAGTGTGTAGAGAGCCTCTGGGCCCAAGGAACTGATCTTTCCTTGAGCAAGTAAATCATGTCCTAGAGTAAGACATCTGAGCTCCTCTTGCATCCTGCTAGGCAAGCAAGAGGCCTGGCTGGGAAGGGGAGGTGGGGGAAGAACTGGAAGGAAAACCGGGAGTTAGAGACATGGCAAGTGGGACAGGGGCTGGAGCACTGGGAACTGGGGGTTCCAATACTTGCTTCTTGTCAGAGTAGAGCAGTGCATAGACCTCCCGGTGCATGCCCTCAGGCCTCTTGAAGGTCAGTGTCTCAGATGACTTCTTGGACTTTTTCTAATGAAATCACAAGAAAAGAACCACAGCCTAGAACACCCATCCTGAAAATTCTTTAGCCCAGCACAATCCCTGAACAAATCATCACCTACAGGCACAATGACACACATAATGACACATTATAATGGCTCACTATAAAGAACAGAAACCTTCTCTCAGGAGAATCCCCAATTCTCCCCACGCCTACCAATCTGGGTAGAGCTCAGACTGTCAAAGAACAAAATCCTTTCCCCCTCTCAGACTGTCACAATGTCTTGGACTCCCCCACCCAGTAACTTAGGAATGCCACATTCGCCTCCCCTCATCTCTTGGAGGTTTTCCATTGTTGGTATCCAGCATCTCCCACGGTGTTCCATCATCTCCTTAGGGATAATACATATTTTCTGTCCCGTTATGTCACACCTTTTTATCGCACATCTCACTGAAAGTGTAGCTCCCCATCACTTCCCCCATCTCTTTCAATGTCACTCCCCTCACCCCTTCAGTCCCCCTACCCAGTGCTCTCAGGTGTCCCTACTACCTTGTCCGGGTTGATAATGTCCTTTTTGCTGATGGTCCCGGAGGCTGCATCCCCCTCTGGACCCCCGAGTTCTAGAATGTCCCGTACATCCGCGCCCGTAGCCATAGTGCCAGTGTTGGGGGAACAACCGAGGTCAAGCGCCAGTGCCTGAGGAGGGAGCAGGCTCAGGTCAGCGGGGGGGCGGGGGGGGCACTCCAGATCCAAGTGGGGTTGGGGTGAAGAGGCGGGCCAAGAGGAAGGTGGATCAGGTCTGGTGGGGGTTGTAAAGGTGTCCTGCCTCTTGGGTGTCCCTAATGGCCCCATAAGACTCCTCCCTTACCCCTCTGCCTCCGCACGGGCGTCCCTAGGATGCGATCTCTTCTGGCGCTCGCTAAACACCGGGAAGCCAAGGGCAGAAACTTCCGATTGTGCGCCGTAGAAACGCGGCCCATAGAAACACTTCCGGTCTGTGCCTAGAGAAAACAGAGCCGGCTGGAAACGAAGTGAGTAAGCTAGAGAGTGGCCACGCTGGGCGGATCACAGTTCTGTTCTCCCGCAAGCCCTCCCCCTTGTGGTAAAGCACTGTATGCTTTCTGGCAGGTACTTTCTATCCTCCTCTATTGTATCATGAGCAATAAAAAGCTCAGAGCTTTTTGACGCTGAGAAGTCACTTAATCTCTTTGAACCTGTTTCTTCATGGGCGGAATGTTAATTGTAATAATATGTGTTTAAATGAAATACTGATGATCCACGTAAACAATTTAATTTTTAAAATTAAATAAATTAATGAAGGTAGTTAATATCATTAATTCATTAAGTGTTACTGTGTTCATTAATTGCTACTATGTATCAGGCACTGCGACCCTTGACAGTGAAGAGAAATGAACAGGCCGATCTTGGGGGAGGGCAGTCAGGATGGGGTACAGACCCTCACTTGTGACTCTTCTTTTTTTTTTTTTGGTACTGGGGATCGAGCACTGGTCTTTGTGCTTGCAAGGCAGGCGGCGGAACCATTGAGCTAAATCCCCGGCCCTAAATGAGCAATTTTTTTTTATTTTTTTGTACCGGAGATCGAACTCAGGACCTTGGGCTTGGGAGGCAGGCCGCGACTTGTGACTCTTCTAATGGAGGTGTCAGTGGGTTGGGCCTCTGGCGCCTTCCTGGAGCCCAGCTTCCTGGAATTTCTCTTCTACCGCTAGCTCCTGCATTAGTTTGATTAACAAAAAGCCCCAAACCACAGTCCCAGGCAAGGAAGAGCTAGAAGTATTCCTCAAGGGAAGAAATTTGCTGGTCTCCCTAGAGAGAAAGACAGGCAGAAGCGCTGAGGAAGATCAGAAGTGATAGAGGAAGAAGCTGAAAGTTTCAGCCTCTGCGAACCAGCCTGCCAACGTGGAGGACACATGCACAATGAGTGTGCTACATGGGGTAAGGTTTGTAAGGTATTAAGGATGCCAGACTCCAAACCAAGACCTGCCATAGATCCTCACGGGGCACTAGAAGAGCAGACAGCTAGCTATGTGTAAATGTAGCCTCTTCTTGCCTCGATACCACAAGCCTGGCTGGACCTCAAAACTTTGAAGAACTAGGCTTGTAAGTACAAACCTTGATCTGTACCTGAGGCCTTATTCCTGTGTGGCTCAAAACAGATTCTGGGGGAACCTAGATCTTGTAGCAAGACCTAGCAAGCAAGGAATGGTCCTTCAAACCAGAAGTAGACACAGTAATGGGAGAAATCTCTGTGCCTCTATCTCAAACACGTGACTCTACTTCAGTTAATTAATTGTCTAATTATTTGTTTAATAAGTAAGTCCCTTGGGGCCGAGGGTTTAGCTCAGTGGTGCTGCTGCCTGCCTTGCAAGCGTCAGGTCCTGAGTTCGATCCCCAGTTCCAAAAAAAAAAAAAAGTCCCTTGATAGACTCATTTCTGTGAAGACAGGGACCACAGTAGGCAAATGAATTTATGTGCCAGGCACAGTTGTAGACTGGGGATGCAGTAGGTGAATGAGAGATACCTCCTGGAGGAGGTTGTACTTAGTGGACGAAGAACACCAGGCATATCCATATCATCAATCAACTTCATAATGTGCCTTTTCATGGTGACAGTAGTTATGAGGGAAATGGAGTGGAAGACTACAGAATGAGGTCAGGGGAAATTTCTCTGGAGTAATTGAAATTTGAACTGGGACTGAAACAATGCAAATAGCAACAGGATATGGGAGGGAAGAGGTATGGGGAGGGATGTTTCAGACATAAAGAAAAACAAACGCGAATTCCTTGAAATGGAATGAGGACTATTTGTTGAAGGGACATGGAGGAAAAAGTGTCGTGGTTTGGATCTTAAATATCCCTCAAATGCCTATATGCTAAAGGTATGGTCATCAGGCTGTACAGTACTGCTCTTGGAAGGTGGTAGAACACTTAGGAGGTGGGGCCTGCTGGAAGGAAATTAAGTCACTGGGAGATGCACTTGAAAGGAACACTGAGACCCTGGTCCCTCCTCTCTTTGCTTACTGGTTGCCCTGAGATGAAAGGCCTCCTCTGTCACCCATCTCCCACCATGATGTTCACCTTCTCCACAGATCCCAAATTAACAATCAACCATGGATTGAAACCTCTGAAACTACAACTCCAAGTAAACCCTCCCTTCATTAAGTTATTTATCTTAGACATTTTTGTTACACTGACAGAAATCTGACTAACATGAAGGCCAGTGTGTTGTCAGGTGAAAAGGGAGAAAACAGGATGATTTGAGATCAGATGTGGGCATTGTGGACCACAAGAATAAGTTGAGTTTTGCACTAAGGGCAATCACTTGCTGTCCTACCTTCTCCTCACCAAGACTATGAGCTCATTAAAGGATGGCACTGGGTTTCATCCTCTAAACTGGAATCATTTCTCTGAATCTGTTTCTTCATTTGCAAGATGGAAAGTATGCATTATTTGGAGGGGCTTCTCAGAAAGAGTTTTTTTTTTTTTTTTTTGTACTGGGGATTGCACTCAGGTCCTCACGCTTGCACAGCAGGTGGCGAAACCACTGAGCTAAATCCCCAGCCCAGAAAGAGGTTTTTGAAAGGAAGTTCAACTATTTGCCAAAGAGGGCATGGATTTCTTCCCAAACCCTGGGTCTTCTGCTGCAGTATTCCTCTGGGTTTGCTGTGCATTCCATCAGCATGGTGATCTAAACATGACTGGTTTGGTGGGTCATGGAGACCAGCTGGAATATCTATTTACATTGCAGCCTAGATCAGTTGGAGGGTATTTTGACTTGCTCTGGTTTCCCCTCAAAGCTGACAGCCTTTCAGGTTACTGAATAAGTGGGTGGATACAGAACACCGAAATGTGATTTCTGTTGCCTCAAAACTTCAAGGCCACCAAATACCACCAGGTACTATACTTCAACTAATCTAAAATGCCGTCAACTGACAGGTGTACCTCATTTATAGTCCATTATGAAGAATTTTTTGTACATTGTCAATTAAACCATGATATACCATTGATTATAGAATGCATTGCCATTTTTAAAGATGTTAAAATGATGAGGGAGTAGTAACATTGTGGATGTATTAAATGCCACTGAATTGTTCACTTTAGGATGGTTAATTTTGTTATGTAGATTTCACCTCTATAAATAATTTTTTTGGCTGGGTGCACTGGTGGACACCTGTAATCCCAACACTCTGGGAGGCTGTGGCAGGAGGGTGGCAAGTTCAAGCCCAACTTGAGCAACTTAGCAACTTAGCTAGACCCAGTCTCAAAACAAAACAAAACAAAACAAAACAAAACAAAACAAGAATCCAAAAGGACTGGAGTTGTAGTTCAGTGCAAAGGCTCTGGGTTCATTCTTCAGTACTGCAAATAATAATGATAATAATTTTTAATGTGAAAAATGTGCATCTCAGAATCAAGGACAAATGATACAGTTACTCTTTCATATGCTAGAAGGATGTAAGGTGAAGCAACTTGTACTTAGAAGAGGATATAATGACACACCCTATGGACACTGGATCTTCAGAAATGTCACTAAGATGTATTTTCATGGGATATACTTTATTTGATTGAATTAAAGATTCTTTGACCCAAATGCATTCTTGATTTATTAGGAGATGTCAAAAGAAGGCTTTCACAGAACTACCCCACCATTTCCTTCTGCTGACAATGATTGCAAGATGTCATCTGCTGGCCTCAGCAGAAGTGGAGCCATTTCTTCTGGCAAGTGAGGCTCAAGGGGTAGGGTTTTGGACAGTCTCAGTTGTCTAAACGCTTACTTTTCTAGTCAATGCCCAAACATTCACATAAGAGAAATAGACATATGTAAGTTTAAGTGATACTGTGCTACAGTAATTCTCCATATCAAACTTTGAGCTTACTTTCCAGCTATAAGCAGCCCCATGATTGTATAATTTGTTTTTATTATAGACATAGAATGTCAAAGGTTTGAGACTTATCTTGATCCAAAGTTTTAGGGTATTGATCTTGTCATTTTTTTCTTAACTCTGTGCAGAACATTTAGAAGAGAGCTCTCTTCACTGCACAGTTTTTCTTCTCTCTTTCTTAGTTTTCTGTGGCAGAGACTCTGGTTCCTCAGACTTTTGACTCCAGTGCATCTTTCATTCAGAAGATAATTGATTGCAAGTGATAACCTATTAGGTGCAGACCAAGAGCTGAATTTTCATGCCCAAACATAAATGCCAAATTCATCCCTGATCTGATACCAATTTATGTATCACTTACAATTGTAGTTCTTAGTTATGTTTTCTAGGAAGTACAGCCAAAATTGTTTGAAGAAGAGCTAGAGAACCAAATAGAATAGTAATAATAAAAACCCTCAAAAATACTATTAATGTGCTTCAATTTTCAAAGGTATCAGGCTGAAAATTATAAATGAGTTCTATATTGCCTTCAGTTAATTGATTATTCCTCATATATTCAAATTGACTTTAAAGCATATAAGAAATTGAAAATTCTCTCAGTTCAATTTATGAAAATACCACAATATTAGTACTAGATACTAAAAAGGAGAGGAAGCCTCTGAGAAATAAGAATTCTCATCATAAATAAACTATTGAAGAATTTAGAAAAGACTGAAATCTATCCTGCACAATTTACTATTATATCCTGAAACCAAAGACAGACAATAACAGCAGGAGGGGGAAAAAGCATATGATCCCACTTATGAACAATGAAGTAAAATCTTAAATAAAATGTTATCCAATTAAATCTGGCAGTGTATTACAAGAATAATTCACCAAACCTAAAGAGAATTTATCCCAACATTGCTAAGATGGGTCAGCAGAAAGATATATACAACTTAATTTATTATATTAATGAATTCAACATAAAACATAATTATCTTAGTAAATGAAGCTCCCATTAATGATATAAAAAATCACCCCATAAATTAGGAAAAGAACATCTTTAATTTGACACAGGGTTTATTTTTAGTAAAACAATGAGAAAACCCCATAGCAAATGACATACTGGATGGT